ATCGGTGTTGAGCGCTTTTCCCTACTCATTCAACGATGCCCCATGAAAGTGGAATGGAAAGTGACAACTGCATATAGCCAATCTGATTTCACTTTATGGCAGCCTGCCTTGGATGCCGTTTTCAGGAAAGCAACGTGTTAAAGCTGACTGTGTCACAAATCCACAGCCAGCCTTGACCGGAATCTACTCTCAGTAGGACAATGCCGAAATGCAAGAATAGGAATGCAGGTGAAACACTTCCAAGTTCAGTGAGAGGGGGCGTGCACTTAAACTCACTTTGCAGCTGAAGAAAGTGATTTGACAACAGGACAGTGGGGACGTTTTTAGCCAAGTGTGTTTATCAGTAATACAGCCCAGGAATAAATATTGGTAGCATATTTATACGTTGCATTTTGATGATACCAGATCCCTGTAAGAGTGCAGTTCATTCTTGACTGTCTTTTATTAGGATAAACCTCAGCTGACGAGGTTGGAGCCCGAACAGTCTGCAGAGAAGAAATGCCACAGTCCTAATGACTCCACTCCAGTGCGAATGGGCCTCGTGAGCAAATCGCTGTCCTGACGGGAACACGCTGCATGTCATGTACCTGAGTTAGTAACTGTTTAGGAATACGAGGGTCCTTTCTGCCTCTCTCATCTGAAGCTGTCACAGCTAATCAGAAAATTCTAAGAGATGCGAGGCTGCGTCCGTGTCACCTAATTGTCCTCTTGCTATTCCAACGACAGCAGGCATTTCGGTTGTATTTTATATGCATGCTGAGTCCTAGGTCTATGCAAGAACAAGTATCAAAAATTACAGCAGCGGATGCCGCTGCTACCAGGGGACCAGGAGGTTTGATTTAATTGCTGTTCATAATTTTATTTTATTTTTTTAAGCCAGCACTGTTTATGGTTCCATAATATAAAGCAAGTTACTTCCTTTATTTCCATATTGTATCGAATCTCTAGAAGTTACATCTCAGTAAGTAGGGAGGCGAGGAGAATGATAATATCTCAGAGTACTAGTGCAAAGGACTCAGAGATGTTAGGGCAGCCATTCTCCATTTAGAAATCTGCTTATTGGATTTGACTAATCTCTTAGGTTAGTATGTCATTGGCTCTTTCAAATTTGTTCTTTGAATTTATTGAA